ATAGTCCTAGTTTAAGACTGCAGTCAGCTTTCTTACAGGCTACGTGTGGCTCAAGAAATCTGGACAAGCCACCCTGTATTAATGCATCTGGTTGCTCCTTTTCATTTCCCTTTGCAGGGGATGCTTCTGGGGGTTGTTGGGAAGGTCGGCTGTGGCAAAAGCTCTCTGCTTGCAGCCATCACTGGAGAGCTCATTAAGTAAGTAGCCTAAAGACTTCTCCCAGCCTGGTCCCTTGATGCCCCAGCAGGCAGGGACTATCCAGTCCTATCCCTGTCTGTAGGCCATTTTGATCTACCAACAGTTCTTCTTTGTTGCCCTTTCCACCCACTTCTGGTATGCTTGTAGACAAGGTGGACAAGTGTATGTTTGTGACCTGGAGCGAGGATTTGGTCTGGCCACACAGGAGCCTTGGATACAGTTTACCACCGTCCGTGAGAACATCCTTTTTGGGCGGGAATATGATGCCAGGCTGTACGAGGAGGTGGTGGAGGCTTGTGCCCTCTCTGAGGACCTGAATGTGAGTGGCTAAACAGTAAACCTGCCTGGGCCTTCTTGGTCAGCTTTTGCATCCAGCCTGAGCCTCACTGGGAGCAGTTTTCCTTCTTTCAGGCTATAGACTGCTTCTCCAGTCACACAGCATTACGCTGATTGCCAATTCCAGACTATACCTGGCCCCACAGTTCTTTAAGGTGTGAAGTTACCTTGTCGCTCTTTGGATGGTTTCTCTTCTGCTGCTGAGCCAAAAGCTCTTGATCCTGGGGAAAGATGTTCTTGCAGAGCTGATGACTGCCAGGTTTTTCAGGCAGAACCTGTCAGCTGATGCTTTTTTGGATCAGAAGGAACTTTCCTGGGATCTGGGAGGGCTGAGTCTGTGGTCCCCCCATCAGTAATACACATGTTCTAAGTTTGAGGCTTATGGCTGTATTAGCCAGTAAATCTGGCTGTTATATATGGTAGGAAGCTAGCCTTCTCCCAGGTTATAACCTGATGCCTGATTTTCTGAAGTCCCAGGCCTGCTGTTTGCTTTGGCAGGAGCTATGAATACTCTGTAAAGGTAAGATACTTATTTGAGAAGTAGTAGACTATGCCTGTGCTACCAAATCAAGAGGAAACTGATTCCAGCTGCTGAAACTCTCTAGTTTTTACTGCTAAACTGTTTGGATGGGCCGTGGCATGATTTTGGTGCAGACACAGCTCTTGCTCTCCCAGAAAATTCCCAGGTGCAATTTCAGAGTTATCTCAGACCAGAAGTTACTCTCAATGAGTAGTTCAGATATGCCCACCCTATTCTGGAGTGTAATAAGAGTTTAGTTGCCAAAATGCCAAGCTTGCCAGTTGTCTGCAGAACCAGTATATACACTGTTGCATTGTTTAATTTTTGGTAAGTTGTCACCCTAAGGAATTACTGCCAGAGGTAGGAGAGGGACCTCAGTGTTCTGCTTTTGGGTTCCCAGTAGTTTTCTGTCTCTTCTAAATGGATTTTCTTGAATGTTTCAGATTTTACCAGCAGGTGACCAGACAGAGGTGGGTGAAAATGGTGTGACACTCAGTGGGGGACAGAAGGCTCGAATAGCCCTTGCCAGAGCCATTTACCAGGTAAATAGCAAAGGAGTCATGCTGTGGTAGATTGTGCCCAGTACCAGGATGTAAAGAAGCTGTAAGCACCCAGCTGTACAGCATGCTCTGGCAGTGTGTCTTAAACCGCGTTGTGCTGGCCTAAAGGTGCTGGCTGTGTGTCACACAGAGGCACTTGTATTTTCTCTACAGCACTGCCTGCTCCGGCAGGGCCAGCAGCTGTATCCTTGTCTTTTGTCTCTCTCTCAGGAGAAAGAGCTTTACCTCCTTGATGATCCCCTGGCTGCTGTTGATGCAGATGTAGCCAACCATCTTATGCGGAAATGCATTCTCGGAGTTCTCAAACACAAGACCAGGATCCTTTGCACCCACAGGACGGAGTTTTTGGAGAAGGCTGATGCCTTGTTGTTGATAGACAATGGCAGGATAGTTAAGACAGGTACACTGGCTGTCTTCTCAGGCATTCATTTGTGCCTGTGTGCCAGACTTGGAATTGGTTGAGCGAAGACAGACATAAGGGAGTAGGATTAACTAGTGGGGAACCCAGTGATAACGAGCTTGAGGACATTGCATGTGGGCAAAGATGGGGTGGAAGGGAATGTGCAGATGCACAGATAAACCAGGACAGCCCTAGAGGTTGGGAGCTGATAGGGCAGAAGGCCATAGCAGGTTGTATGGAGCAGGGCCTTCTAGGGTGTAGGAATGTTAAGAGGGAACAAAACTCGGCCATTTCATAGCAAGAGGCAGTGAGTAGCTGGCATCTGTTCCTCGCTGACCCTGAAGCATTTGCATGTTTCTCTTTGCAGGCACACCGGCTGATATCCTGCCACTCGTGGAAGCCTTCCCAAAGTGCAAGGATATGGACAAGAGGCGGAAGGATAAAGGTCTATACCTGGCAAGCTTGAGGGTGGCTGGGGCAGCACAGCTTAGCCGTACCAGATGGCTGCTGGCCTTAGACCAGAGCTCCCACCACCTTGCTCTGCTGTGGCAGTGCTGATCTGTGGGTAGTGTGTGCATAGAGGGAGAGGAGGCCCACATATTGTTGGGTATTGGTCTGGAGCAGTATTTGAATCTGTTGTTCCATGTGTGGTCCAGCTTTGGATGAAGGTCTGCCAGGATTGGTGCACCTGTCTTGAGAGAGGAGGGAAGAAAAGTCTCCTTCATAGCCTAGACTTGCTGTCTTCACAGCAAGGAGGAGCTGCAGGAGGAACTTTTGTCACACTGACCTTTGTTTTTGCCTGCATTCCCACAGCCCCTGATGAACAGGGCCAAGAAGAGGCCGTAGAGACAGAGGCAGAAGAATCAACCCAAAACAATCATCTCATCCACAAGGAGGAAGAGAAGAAAGAAGGGGCAGTGGCTTTTCAGGTGTACAAGGCATATTGGCTGGCAGTGGGCAGCTGCTTGGCATTATCCATCCTCTTCTCACTGCTCCTGATGCAAGGTGAGGCAGTGGTTCAGTAGCACATCTCTGTTTAGACATTCCTCTCTTCTTGTTCCCTGGTTGTGTGGAGTTCAGGGGAGAAAAGAGGCCAGGGGTTTAATCGCTCTCCCTGCAGCAGGAAGGCCCCTTTTCTCTTCCCCAAACTAAGTAGCACAGTTGGGAGGGGGCATATGCGAGAGCAGGATCTGGCGTCTCACTGCTGCAGTTGCATGTCTGCTCCTCTAGCAGTGCCCTGTCCCTGCTGCAACTCAAGGCTGTTCTGTTGCTCCTGCTCTGCTACTAACAGTGGAGAATGAAGACAGAGGAAGACTGGGCAGTGAGACAATAACAAAAGTTGTCCAGCAGCTTCCCCTCCAGCATTTCTGCTTCATATTTGCTGATTCAAAGGTTGAATCCCTCTTTATGCTGTCTGTCTTTCTCTGTAGCATCCAGAAATATCTCAGATTGGTGGCTGTCACACTGGATCTCCAGCATATCCCAGACAGCAAATAGCTCTGTGATGGTCTGCTCAGCTTCCCCACCTTCCCCAGAGCTGCTTCTCTTCTCCATTGTTGGGCTTGTGTAAGTGAATGCTGGTCAGGAGATGCCAAAGGAAGCTGAAAACACACTCTGATTTTGCCCTTAAGTGTATTTCAGGTGAAGATCCTTGTTGAGAGCAGGGATAAACTGTCCACCCCACTGCAGGCGATCTGTGTGGCTGCTTTGACAAAGAAAGAAAATCAAAATCTCTGACCTGATGAGGTGCCCAAAGGGCTTCTGCCTAGGGCTGATGGAAGACCCCTAGCTGCATAGTAATCAGAGTGTTTGTCCCAGCATACCAAAGGGGTGGTGTCTCACAGGAGTATCAGGTTGAAGTATTCTGGTTTCCCCTTGAGTATGCTCCTGGGTTCTCATGACCTGTCTGTGAGTTTACTGTCCTGGGAACCTTGGCAGATTCATAATATTCCTCCTTCTGTGTTCCAGCTCCCCCATTCAGGCTCTGGACACCACCCCAGTTCCTTCCAATAGTTCACTGGATGTGAATTTCTACCTGATAGTTTATGGGAGCATCGCAGGGGCCAACTCCCTCTTCACGATTCTTCGGGCCTTCCTCTTTGCTTACGGCACTATCCGTGCTGCCACTGTCATTCACAACCAACTGCTCCAGAGGGCTCTGAAGGTAATGATCAGAAAGTCCAGGGCAGGCTGGGGCTCCTGCAAGTCACTCTGCCTCGATGTCCTTCTCATAATTGGGAGTAAGGGTTTGGGAGGTGGATTAGGGTTTCTGCTGATATTAGCTGATGAGCTAATAGGGCTCGTATCCAAAAAGGGCTGCACCACAGCCAGCACAAGGGGCCGATGAGCTGGGGTTCAAAACATGTCCTGTAAGGTTTGTTCTGTTTCTTGCAGAGGGGTTTTATGGCTGCCACCTGCATGTATTCACTCATTAAGCTTAGATATATAGCCAAGATATATAGCCAAGGGCTAGCTGAATCAAAGTAGCTTTTGCAGGATCATGAGCTCAGATTGGTAGGAATCATTGAGCAAGATTTAGGGCTGATGGCTGGCATGTGCCAGTTAACTTTCTTTAGGATTTGGGCTTCCTTGGGTCCTTGGGCTAGAGTTAGGATTAGAGGATTGGAAGATAGGATTAGAGGCTAGTATTAGAGGATTGTGTCACTGGCTACTGGTGGGCCAGTACGGAATCTGAGTGGCTGCAGTCTTGGTAGCTGTCTGCCATTTGCCACAGAAGGGGTCCTTCCTTTTGCCATGCAGACAGCATGAGTTGTTTGGCTGCGAGTGGATGCTGGCTTTGCAGTCTGAGATTTCTTCTCCAGCTGAGGAAAGGAAGGGGGCTGTGGTGGCCACCCTCTTGGTAGCTGTCTGCCATTTGCCACAGAAGGGGTCCTTCCTTTTGCCATGCAGACAGCATGAGTTGTTTGGCTGCGAGTGGATGCTGGCTTTGCAGTCTGAGATTTCTTCTCCAGCTGAGGAAAGGAAGGGGGCTGTGGTGGCCACCCTTTTGTGGCCTTACCTGCTCCCCTTGGTGCTGCTCTCCTGGGCACCATTTTGTGGCTGGATCTCGCTGCAGCTGACTGGCTCTTTCTGATTTCCTTGTTGCCAGGCCACAGTCACCTTCTTTGACACCACACCAACAGGTCGGATCCTGAACCGCCGCTTCTCCTCAGACCTGTACTGCGTGGATGACAGCCTGCCATTTATCCTCAACATCTTCCTGGCCAACATGTATGGGCTACTGGGCATGCTGGTGATAATCACCTATGGCCTCCCTTGGATTGGTCTTGTGTTACTCCCTCTGGGCACCCTCTACTTCTCCATCCAGCGCTATTACAGGCGCACGTCCCGGGAGCTCAAGCGCCTTTACAGTGTCACTCTGTCTCCCATTTACACTCACTTCTCAGAGACCCTCTCAGGACTGAGCAGCATCAGAGCCATGCGGGCAACACAGAGGTGAGTGGAAAGAAAGAGCCCCCAGAGAGCCAGAGCTTTGGCTTTATAGTCCAGGGCCTTCCTCATGTGGGGCTGGGTATGGGGTGGCAGCAGTGCCCCTGGTCTGGGGGAGGAAAAAAAAACAGGAATGGAGGTTGAGTGGTGTGAAACTCTGTTGTGCACTTCCCAGGTTTGAGTTGGAGAATCAGCTGCGCCTGGAGCAGAACCAGCGCTGCCTCTTTGCCAGCAACACAGCGATGCAGTGGCTGGACATCCGCTTGCAGATGATTGGGGTTGCTGTGGTTACCGCTATTGCAGGAATTGCCATCATCCAGCACCAGAAGCAACTGGGAAATCCAGGTAGGTTGCCAGGGATTGTTCTGTGCCCACCCCTAGGCTGTGGCCCAAGGGTTCCTCCTCTCCTAGCCCAGAGTCTTCCTACACTGGGGTAAGATCCAGAGCTCCTGCTCCCTGTCCCTCTACAAGTCACCCACGGTGTAGTGCTTCAGCTCCTGTCCCTCCTGTGTGTCCCCATCCTCGAGTGGGATCCCAGACTCCAGAGTGCTGACTTCTCCCTTGCTTCTTTGTCCTGTCACCAAGATCCCAGCTCCTCCCAGTAACATTCTTGCTTATGCTTTTGTCCTTGCAGGACTTGTGGGCTTAGCGCTCTCATATGCCCTGTCTGTCACAAACCTGCTCTCAGGCCTCATATCCAGCTTCACTCTGACAGAGACCATGATGGTGAGTGTGGAGCGGACAGAGGAATACACCACAGACATCCCCACAGAGCCCCAGGATAAACTGGTCCAGGTAAAAGCTCAGACATGTTCTCAGGGACTGGCCCATCTTCTGGATCTGTGCCCTGCACTTGCCTCCTGGGGACATTCACTGGAACTGTGTGATCCAGTGAATGGGTGGAGGGTCCTCACCCACAGAAACCACCTTGATCACTCATCCTTTACCAGTACCTTCCCCAGGGGGACGAATATCTGGCAGGAGCTGGTGAAGGCTGGAATGATGGGAAGGGGTAGGAGAGCAGAATGGCTGCTAGGTCCAAGCTGTGAGAGAAAAAACAAGCCTAGGAGGAAGTGGAGATGGAGCTGGGCTGTGCATTGGGTCTACTCAGAAGGCAGGCAACCATCCGAAGGGATGGATGGAGCTTGGCCTGTGGGGAGCTGAGGCTGAAGATGACAGTGGGTCACGGTCATATTCTCTCTCACCTTGGTATCCCTCTTAGGTTGCTGCTGACTGGCCAAGCCAGGGCCTTGTGGAGTTCCAGCAAGTGGTCCTGGCCTACCGAGCAGGCCTGCCTAATGCACTCGATGGTGTGAACTTCACCGTTTATCCTGGAGAGAAGGTGGGGATTGTGGGTCGCACAGGATCTGGAAAATCCACCCTTTTCTTGGCCCTTTTCCGCATGCTGGAGCTGAAATCAGGCCGTATTCTCCTGGATGGTGTTGACAGCCAGCTGGTGGGCTTGGAGGAGCTGAGGTACGGAGGGTTGAGCAGAGTAGAGGGTAGCTGGGGGTGCTGAGAGCTGTCAGTGCTTGGATGCCAACGGGAAGAGTGAGGAGGAAAGGACTTATGGCACCCTCTTACCTGATTGTGGCAGCTTCTTATGAGTTGCTCTTTTGTTTCTGGACAGCTGTTCTAAGGAAACCAGGCTGAAAATGTGACCAATGTCTCTGTGCCTCTAAGATACACAGCAATCTAAGACACCTCACCCCAGGAAAAAAAAAAAAGAACAACAGGCCTTTGCTTTTCGGCAGAACCCACCCCATGAGCCCTCAGCTCTTGTTTGCTTGCAGATCTAGGTTGGCTATCATCCCCCAGGATCCGTTTTTGTTCAGTGGCTCAATCCGAGAGAACCTGGACCCCCAGGGAAAACGAACAGATGCTGAGCTCCACGAGGTGTTAGAGCAGTGCCACCTGCGGGATGCCATTACTCAGATGGGTGAGTCTGAACCCAGCAAGACGCAGCTGGTGAGCCCTGGTACTGGGAGAGGGGAGAAGGCCTCAGCTCAGGGAGCTGAGGAAAAGGGGCCAGGTGGATGCAGTAGGGAACGGGTTAGGTGAGGCCACACTAGGACCAGGGCGGGAACAGGTCAGTGGGACCCGGTGGCATTCATTCCCTGAGATTTAGTGGAAAGGGACTGGCAGGTGATGGATTGGGTGGCAGGATCTTGCCGATGAGACCATGCCCCAGTGGATATTAGAGCAGAGCCTGAGAGACAAGTCAGCCCTCAGTTCTGGGGGAGCGTGGCATCTCTGTGCCAGATGTTGCCTGCGTCTGAGCGTAAAGGCTTCCATTCCCGAGGCCTGGGCCTGAGCAGGATTGGGGTTTTGAGTGCTATTGGGAAAACTGCAGACTGGGGGAGCTGTCTGGGGCCCTGTGCAGAGCCAGTGGGGTAACTGCTGAGCTTGACCCCTGCAGGTGGATTGGACAGCGAGCTGGGAGAAGGGACAGAGACAGCTGGTGTGTCTGGCGAGAGCTCTCCTGACGCAGGCCAAGGTGAGTGCCCTGCCTCCGTTGGAGCGAGGGGGAAGGGGAGCTGCTGATGGCTGTGTGGGGACAGCAGAGCAGAGCACTCCAGAGTTAGGAGTGTGATGGGAACAGACGTCCTGCGCTGCCTTCTTGGGTTGTCCCTAGGCAGGGATTGGGGTCTCCCCTGTGGTGCCTGGGAGCTCCCTTCACTCTCTGTCCCTGGCAGGTGCTCTGCATCGATGAGGCCACAGCAAGCGTTGATCAGAAGACAGACCAGCTGCTGCAGCAGACAATCCGCCAGCGCTTCGCTGACAAAACTGTTTTGACGATTGCTCACAGGTATGGAGGAAGCAGCACTTATTGCCTAAATTCATCCTACCACTTGCCTGCCATGCCTGGGCCTTGAGCTGGGCAGGGAGGTTTCCCTGATGAGGCTTTTCAAGTGCAAAAGGCTGGACCTTGCCTATTGGCCTTTTCTGCTTTATTAGCCCCTCAGTGCTGGGAACAACTGTATGTGAAAACGTCGTACCCAGAAATTGGGGGACAGCAAAGGGCAAAACGTATCACAGGTTGTATGGCAGATGGCTCTGCTGGGACTGGGGGAGTGAATCAGACCTTGTGGTTCTGACAAATGAGGGCAAGAAGCGATGGAGAACTATCCTACAGAAAGGAGCAGCGTGGAGGCCCGGGAGGAGTAGGGGTCTCTGGCTCAGTAGAGGGCACTGCAGGACAGCTGGCAGTGAAGGGCCACAGCCAGCTCCTGGCCAGGGGAGGCAGAACACTGGGTAGTTCTGTTTTCCAAAACCCTGAGTTTTGGTCCCAGCCTGCACCCGATGCCGGCAAGCTACACAGTGGCCAGGCAGGACAGGGCAGCAGTGCTTGCCCCACATCCGAGAGATTTAATGTAAGAGTAGGGGCAGGAGATGGTTACGGGCAGAGGGAGGAGGGCAAAACCTGACTACTGTGAGTACCGAGAAGGGACAGGTTCACATTAGGCAGTGCTCCCACTCCTGCCAAGTGGAGGAGAATTTGGAGGAGGGTTATGCAGTTGTATGGAAAGTGTTTTCAAAGCGCAAAGGTTACCACAAAAATAAAAATCAAATGAGCAGGTGGCAGGGGGTGGTGTCCTGCTGCACAAAAGTGGGAGTGATGGATGACAGGCAGAGTGGGCTGGGCCTGGGAAGCGAATTGAGTAGGTCTTGTTAAATGTGTCAGATAGGAAGGAGACAGGAAGGGTGTGAAGGTAACGTGGTTCCTACACTAGGGATAAATAGAGTAGAAAGGTAAGGGCACCATGGGCTGAGGTGTGTGTTTGGGTTGGGTGGGGGGAGGCCACCTCTGACAGAGGAGTAATTAGAGAGAAGAACCAGCAGAGGAAGGAGTGGCAGAAGGCAAAGCAGCAAGACTGGGTTGAAGATGGCCCCAGCCCCTCTTCCACTGGTATGAAGGGAGATGGGGGAGAGCAGTAAGGAGGGGAGATGTGGTGATGGGGTTGTTTTGTACCCATGGTTCTTCCATGCCATTCAGCTTCAGGTAAGCCATTAATTGAATAGGTGAAATCTAGGATGGGAAGTGACACAGTACTTGCCCCTTGCCCCTCCAGGTCACTCCCAGTGCTGCAGCCTGGCACTGTTTTGGGGATGAATGTGTAACCAGAGTCCTGAACTCTGTAACACTTTTACCTGCTCAAATCCTGTGCAGTGTCTTCCCTGTGACTTGCAGCTTTGTAGGGCTGTAGTTTCGCACTGAATGGTGTATGGCTGTGCAAAGGCCTTCCTCCTGCCCTGTATTCCCTCCCCAGGGCCAGAGGTTGCTGCCCTGGTAGCAGACTGGGCAGAACTGGACGCATACAGTGTCTTGCGGGTGCTGTCATTGGCAGTCTGGCAACCACAAATCTGCTCCTGGTGGCAGCGTAAGCAAAGATGCCAGACTGCTGGGGAATGGCAGCTGATGCACAAGTCCATTTCTGCTGCTCTCAGGAGGTGGGAGGTGAGGAAATGTAAGGGCAAACAGAAGCAACTCAGCAACTCTCCTGTGGGAAAGGAGACATCTTGTGCAACGCCAGAATCAGGCGTGCCCTGAGCTCTCCCTCAACAGAGCTTCTCTCTATGCTCCAGGTGCCCTGCCATGCCCAGCAACTGGATGGCATCATCGTGCTCTTCTAAGAGGTGGTGTGTTTCAGCAGTGTGCACAGGCTCTCTGGGGAGCTGGACTGCAGTGTGTCCTTCCGTGCACAGGGAGATGCTCCACAGATCCTGATGTTGGGCATGTCTTGGCCCACCCCTTGACAGCAGGGGAAGCAGTATCTAGGGTTTCTCCTCAGATCCACCAATGTGTGTCCTGATGTTTGCTGTCCACAGGCTGAACACCATCTTGGACTCAGACCGTGTGCTGGTGATGCAAGCTGGGAAAGTGGCAGAGCTGGATTCACCTGCCCGCCTAAGCCAGAAAGATGGCTCCTTGTTCCAGCGCCTCCTGCACAGTGAGCAGCAGTGACCTCCCTCCTGGGCTGGGCCCAGGCAGCCCTCCTGGCTCTGTGGCTGGCTTTCTTTTCCCCTCAGCTGCCAGCACTGTCCCTGCAGGGCCAGGAGTTGCTGAGGTGAGGGAAGGGGTTATTCCTGCCTGCAGGCAGCAATTGTGTGTCCTCAGGGACAGGAGCATGGCACTGCAGCCCTGCCTTCAGTAGGGGAGATGGGACCTGGTATTTAGGGCCATGCAAGCCTGGCTGGTGGGATACTGCTCCCCTCCAAGGCTCTCCTTTGAGATTACAAAGGGCTTTTCTGTTCACTGAAGAATCAGTGACTCCTAGTCTAAGACTCTCTCACATGTGCAATTTAAAATAAAGTGGAAACATCCTTGTGAAGCTCCGTTATTCAGGTTTCTGTCCCCTTTTCCCCCAGACACAGACCTCCTTGTGAGATACAGGAGCAGTGCCCTCTGCACAAAGACAACCCTACCTGCTTCCTACTGCTTTTGAAGGGCACTGACCTTTCCCAGCCCAGAAGGTTGCACCCAGGGACCTTGCTGCTCTTCCTCCAGTTTACAGTGGAGAAGGCCTTCCCCTGAAGGGCCAGAATGCAATTACATTAAAGGCCTGTAATGTGAGTTTATTTTAAGACCACTTTTCCAAGGGAAACTCCCTGTCCCTCCTGCCCTGCTCCCAGCTGCACAAACCCACAGCTGCTTTTAGTGTTAGGATCAGATTGCTCTTCCCGTCAGCACCCTTGGACTCAGTCTTGGGTTTTCTCCTTCTCCCCAGCACTGAGGCAACACCTAGCAGGTACACACCTTCGCTATGCTGTCCTGAGGCAGGTCCCGTTCTTTCCCCTGAGGCTGCGGGAGCCATCTCCACCCCTGCAACCAGAGCACAGGGCAGGACAACTGTGCCACAATCTGGGTTTGCATTCTTGAGGGAAGTAATGGAGATATTCATCCAGAACAAGTAGCTGAGCAACCTGATCTAATTGGATCTGCTGAGGGCAGGAGGTTGGTGTCCAGAGGTCCCTTCCAACCTAAATTATTTTATGATTCTCTGATACACTGTTTCTGGGCTTGTATTTGTTTTATTTGATAAAGGTACATCATCCATCCATGTATTAAAAAAATAATCTTTCTGATGAAGCCCCAGTCCCCTCTCCCAGGTCTTCCTCCTGGCTGAGGGCTCACTCCTTTGTCTGCTCTCTTCACACCATCTTGAACCCAGCTCTGCAACCCTACAGGCCAGTAGGAGGGTTTGGGTTGTGGGGATTTTTACCCCACCACTTATCCCTCTGTGCTCATGAGGAGGCATAGAAGGCCCTGACCCTGGCAGAGAGACGCTGACTGCTGCAGACTGGACCAGCACAGGCAGGAGCAGACCTAGCACAAAGGCTCAGTGGCCTGGCCATCTTGCCTCTCGGCCATGCTTTAGCAACGGTGGAGAAGGCAGTACCGTATCTGCTTCCTGTGGTCATCCCAGGCTCGGCAGCCTGTCCTCATATCCGCTGTGGGGAGCTTAGCCTTTGCTGTATCAAGAAATGCTATAATGGCTGATTTGAGGGTAGTGCCATCTGCCTGCCTTGGAGTGACTGGGAGAGGAAAGGAGGATCTGGATCGTGTATTGCTCCTGAACCAGCTGCAGCATGTCTCCAGCCTTGGCCATCTCCATTTTCACCTAGGAGGGCATATGAGAAGGACCAGCTCAGGCCCAGAGGACCCCAGAATGGAGCAGGCCATCCTCCTCCTCATCAGCAAATGGTGAGGCAGAAGTGCATGCTGGAGAGGGGAAGGAGCTTGGTCATTTGTGGCCGGACTAGAAAGGATGGCTTGGTAAGCAGGAGAAGACCCCTGGATCATCAGGAGGAAAGTACAGAACGTGTTTGTAACCCCAAGTCTGACAGCAAAAGAAGGGAGCATCACCCAGGGCAGAAGAAGGGCAGGAGGAGGCCCCAAATGATCTCCAGAGTCTCTTTGAACTGGCTTACAGAACCACAAGGCTAGGGAGCTAGGGTGTTTGCTCGCTCCCTAGGGACATGGCATCTGAAATGACAGCCTCCAGAAACAGCCGGGAGCCACCCCATCCAGTGCCGGGGCAGGGAGGCCTGTGTAGCCATGACTGTCGCGAAGGCCCCAGAAGAAACATCCCAACGCCAGCGGAAACAAGGACAAAGCCCCTTCCAGTAGTCCAAGAGAGGAGTTATAAAGGGCCTGGCAGAATTTGGGCTTGCATGAAGGCCATGCCCTCCTCCAGCACTACCTGTCCTGTTTCTGAGACCTCATGCCGGACAATACTGGCACTGTGTGGCACGGGCTCCCGCAAGCAGCATGTCACTGCTCCCCTGCAGGGCTGGCCTGACACAGCCCTGCTTTCAGATGCCCGTGGGTGCCGGCTGTGCCGGCCGGGTGGGAGACAGCTCAGAGCCAGGCGGGGCCATCACACCAATGCTCGACACCCAGTGGTTTTGCTGACACGTTCACTGCCCTGGGAGCCGTTCCCCACTGCCTGGCTTGTGCTGGCGCAGCTCCCCACGGTGCAGTTCGAGGGCTTTGCCGGCACGATGACCTGCCAGGGCCCGGCTCAGAGTCCTTGCAGATCACAGCTCCGTTGTCTTCCTGGGCTCAATCAGGATGGTGTTGAGCATGCCCACCTGGCACTCCTGGTCTTGGAGCTTCCTTGCAGCCTGCGAAGGGCTTTGGCACCAGTTCGACCTCTGACGGCCCCTCTGCCAGTTCCTCAGCATTAGCAGGACGGTGATGAGGACCAGCACTGCCGTGAGCACCCCGAACACCAGCACTGTCACCAGCTGGGCTTCGCTCAGCCCTGAGTCCCTCTGGGTCACCACCTCCTTCACAGAGATTTTCAACAACCCTCCCCCCGGCTCTTTCTCGCTGTGGTTGGCCACGCGCCGCCCCGTGACCGCAGTCCTGACAGGCTCCGGCTGCGTCACCCCCGGCATCTCGCTGGTGGTGCTTTTCACCACCCCGCTGTTCTCATGGTTCGCAGGGTGGTAGGGAGGAGCCCAGGTGGGCTCGGGGACGGAGATCTCACAGGTTTTGCCAGTAAAACGGTCAGGACACAAGCAGTCATAGTCATTGATGCGGTCGTAGCACTTTGCCCCATTTTTGCATGGCTGGCTGGCACAGTCATTGATGTTGATGGTGCAGAAACGCCCTTCAAAGCCCACCTGGCACTGGCAGGAGAAGCGGTTGATCCCATCGTGGCAGGTGGCACCATTGGCACAGGGACGCATCAGGCAGTCGTCCACGTCATTCTCACAGAGAGCGCCTACGAAGCCAGCGAGGCACCGGCAGGTGAAGTTGCTGGCAAAGCCGTTTTCATCTTGACACTGCCCCCCATTCTTGCACGGAGACCTGTGTGGAGAAAGCAAGGACAGGTCATGGCCCTGGAGAGCAAGCAGCTTTCCCTGCCCCAGGGAGGAAGACACACACTGTGGATTGCATGGCCAGTGAGCCTGGCACCGGCTCTCTCCATGGGGGCAGCTCTCTCAAGGAGAAGATGGGGCAGGAGTTTCTGCCTCCCCAAGTGAGAGGCTGTGGGACTTCCTCAAAGGCTGTGGCTGTGCACAGACCCACCACCCATCAGGGAGGGTCTTCAGCCAAATCATCTGAAGAGGATACATGCCCTCCTGATGCTCCCCAAAGGCATGATAGGTGTCAGCTCATCACACCTACAGCAGCAAGTGACAGGAATCCGTTCAGATCGCAACAAATACTTTGTCCCGGTGGGATTGTGCGGTGCACACAGCTAAACCAAAGCCAAAGATGGTTTTGGCTTAACTCCATTAGCACATGGAAATCCACAGATAACGAGCCAAGCTGGGCCACTGCTTGGCAGTGCATGACCCAAAGCTAATGCTGTCTGTAATCTCACTGCCCTCACTGCCATGTCTCACCCTGCCTTCTCACATGGCCCCGTCTTCATCTCACAGTCCTTCCCATGAAAGCCTTCTGGACACAGGCAGGAATATTCCCCATCTCGATCGTAGATACACTGAGCCCCATTCTGGCATGGGGATTGGTGTTCGCAGATGTGTATGTCTGAGGGGGGAAAAAAAGGTGGGAATGAGTGAGAAAAGAGGACTGATCTGGCCAATTCAGTTCAAACACAGCCCGTCAAACCCAGTAGGGAAGGAGAAATGGCAGGAGTTTCTCCCGCCTCTCCTCCAACAGGCATCTGCAGCAACAGAAGTGCGGTGCCTACATAGTACCTCCCAGCTATGGTCTGCAAAATGCATTGGTTTAGGGGTGCAGAGAAAGCAAATTGTCCTGCAAATCTGCACAACATGAAGATGCTGTGCGTGGCATCTGGCCGGCCAGTGCAGACCCCTGGCACAGAGGAGCTTCTGAGGCCAGAGGAAGGAAGTCCGCTGGCCACCTGCCAAAGGCAGGAAGCCCTGGGGGAAGCAGGAGGTGCTGCCCAGAGCCCAGTCGTGGCATGGGAAAGGCAATGAGTTCATCTGCTCCATTTCCTGAGGCTGGCCAGTGTCATGGCAGCTCTTGCCATGCAGCCAGTGAATGGGTGCCGGCAGCCTGACCTCTTCTGCAGGAAGAGGATGGTCCTAGCTGTGGCAGCCAGGCAACGTCCCATCTCCCAGGTAGCCCAAGCAGCACCACCACCCGGGTGGCTTCTGGCTATGCTGGCTCACCGCTTCGTGCAGGGTGTGCTGGGCTTCTGCCCTCAGCACCGGAGGCTGCAATGTCCAGCCTGTGACTCACCTTTGTCACAGAACTTGCCGGCCCAGCCGGTGTGACAGATGCACTGCCAAGGCTGGTGGCATGTCCCGTGGAGACACCCCGGCATACGCACGCACTCCTCGCAGTACTCGCCTTCCCAGCCTGGATCGCACCTGCAGGAGGACAGGGCATGGCAGCGTGATAAAACCCAAGCAGGGGCTGCAGAAAAGCTCACTGCTTGCCGTGCAGGGTTCCCCGCACATACAGCAGTGCTGGGAAACCCTCCCAAAGCCCCCCATGAATCTACTGGCTCACTCCTCCAGAGGAGATCAGTACTGGCATCTCATCTTTCCAAAGATGCAAGCAGACAGAGTGGGAGCAGACTCACCCTCTGCAACCAGGGAGGGTAAGGGAGCAGTAACAGAGCTCAGCAGCTTCGTTTTTAGTGCCCGTGTCCCACTGTTCTCCTCCAGCCAACTGCTCTGTACACACCACTGCCTTAGCTCAGCAATTCCTGCGCCTCCCTCATCGCACAGCCAGTCTGACAGGCAGAGAAGAGCCTCATCCCTAA